ATAGATAGATAGATAGATAGATAGATAGATAGATAGATAGATAGATAAGTGTTGCCCGATAATGCATTTTTTGGGTTCAAAACCTTTTTTGAAAATTGAACAATGATCTGCTTGTGGCACTTACTGGCTGAATCTGCTTACATTCCTTTAATTTAAAAGTAATATAAGTGTATACAGTATGCAGTCAGCAAATTGCTCCATTGTTCCATCCTCAACTTCAATCTTAATCTAATTGTGCTTAGCATAAAGTGTACCTACAACTGTTGTGGATGTCGTAGAACAGCTATACTAATGTAGACACTCTTCTACCCAAGTGTGTATCCACCTGCATTTTGCACACATACGGACACACACATTTTCAACAACTCCATGTCCAGCTGAGTATGCCGTGGAGTGACAGGTAAAATGACATGATTGCACACTTTTCCCCTTAAAAACTCCTGGTTTGCCCGCTTTCTCATTTTTGAAGCCCTGATCCATTCTCATTTGATGCAGCATGCCCCGCACAATAGCTCGTAAGCGACTGTTTGAAGATTAATTTGAGCCATTGCCTCGGCACAGCCAACACACTCTTAGCCACAGATTACAGACATACAGTTCTCTGACAGTAGAAAAAGCACTACAGACTGAAGTGGTAAGCACTGCCATGTTGAGGATGACGGCAGCCCCAAGAGAGCTCATCCAAAACATTTCAGGCCCCGTGGAAAAAATAGCAAATTAATGCAAGTGAAGGGCTTCTGCCTACGGGAGCTGTGCCCTCATTTTTAGAAAAGCCATTTTCTCCCCCTGAGTCTTTTACAATGAGTTCAAAGAGTTACGGTGTCCCACAAATTCCTCGTATGCAGCCATCTAGAGAAATAGATGTCATAATATGCAGTCATTAAGCATGTTTGCAGCTGCAGGGTCCTGATGCATTAACTGAATGTTAATTCCAGCCTAGTGCCTCCTCCGTAAATAAAATAATTTTCGAATAATCTGAAACGATTAGTTAACAGGGTAAATTACTGCACAGTTCTCTATTTGTGTGTGGTGTATATTTATATATATATATATATATTTCTTTTTATAGTAATCAGCCACTTTGGGGGTAATAATATACAACCACCACACAACGCACAGAAGTAGAGAAGATAGCAGAGATTGTGTTGGAGGAAATCTACATAGGCTATCAAAGTTGACTGTGCACTACCTATATTCTTATAAGTATACACTTATTCACTTATAGTGGTCACAGAGTGTGTGAGTTTTGTCAGTGAAGCATAATACAACACCACTCGTTTATTCTTTTGGTTTCCAATGCTGCACTGTAGAAGGGTTTTTATTCAGGAAAGTATGTCTTCCCCTTCTTATCTTTCTCCTAATTCACTCTAATCACATTTAATTATCCTAATTGACAAGCTTTGTCATATCTTGAAGATCTCATATTTCAATGATTTCTTTGTCAGGCTCACATGTGGTGAGAAAGTAGAGTTGTGGGCTGAGCATTCGGGTTTTTAGGTCTCTTTCTTCTGGAACTCATTGGTAAGGGTGTGCCTTGAATTTTAAGATTAGGCTTGAAAATGTTTAGGCCTGCCTCACAGCAAGAGGGTTCCATGTTTGCATTTGCATGTGTTGAGTTTTATGTTTGCATCTTTTGTCTGGAGGAAATGCCTTTTAGAGTGACTGATACAGTTTCTAGATGCTCATTAATAATTCATCTGGCAGCGGAGACTTTGTGTGAGAGAGGCTGATGTTTTTATTCATTATTGCTTGAACGATCGCTGCTTAGTCACCAATTTCACAGGCATGAGTTGTATAAATTTCACACGATAAATCATAACACCGCTATGTCCACCCATTCTTATTTGTTTAGATTCATTGTTATTTCATAAGGGTAAATTGTGCTCTCTCGAAGAATAGAGACTACAAAGCTAAGGTGCTTTTTTCTCTTGTGAATCTTGCAGTCCACTGAGCAAATGTGCCCCATAAAGACCTCTACTTCTTGAAGTGGGCAAAGTATTTTGAAGACATCCTCAATCCCTCTAGCCCGTCTTCTTTTGGGGAAGAGGAGCCTCTGGACCTCGTGCTCGGGTTCTCCGATCTCTGGTGCTGGTCATTACCAGATAACCGAGGTGGTAAAAAAGCTCCTTGGTGAGATGGTTCCAGGGCTGGATCAGATTGGGCCGGAGTCCCTCAAGGCTCTGTTGTGGGGTTCAGTTGGTCGACATGGCTCTGCATTACGATATGGACATCGGGAGGGTTCCACTGGATTGGCAGAGTGGGATGGTGGTGGGGACCATAGAGTGAGCTCCAACCACGGGGGGAATCAAACTCTTAAGCCTCCCTGTTGATAGTAGAGATTCTGTTGGAGGAAATCTACATAGGCTATCAAAGTTGACTGTGCACTACCTATATTCTTATAAGTATACACTTATACACTTATAGTGGTCACAGAGTGTGTGAGTTTTGTCAGTGAAGCATAATACAACACCACTCATTTATTTTCTTGGTTTCCAATGCAGCACTGTAGAAGGGTTTTTGTTCAGGAAAGTAGGGGAATCAAACTCTTAAGCCTCCCTGGTGAGGTCTATTCAGGGGTTCTGGAGAGGAGGGTCTGCCTGATGATCGAACCTCGGATCGAGGAGGAGCAGAGTGGTTTTTATCCTGGCTATGGAACTCTGGACCAGGTCTATAACCTCAGCAGGGTCCTGGAAGGTACATGGTGTCACGTCTGGGGGAATGTCTGGTGTGTTGTCATGTCTTGATTACCTATTGTGTACACCTGGGGTTCCCCTCCCTCATGTGTTTAAATAGTCCTCGTTTCCCATGTCCTGTGCCAGTGCGTTTTTGTCTTTCGTCCTTCTTGTTTCGTCTGTCTGTTTTCGTCACCCCATGTTCAGGTTTGATTTTGTCACAGCCTTGTTCACTTTACTGCCATAGTCTTGTTTTGAACCATAGCCACAGTTTTCGTCATAGCCATGTTTTGTCACAGTTTTGTTAATCATGATGTGATACTTTGCCACAGTCTTGTTTACTTATTGCTTTGAGACTTTGCTCATAGTTTTTCACAGCCTTGATTTGAACTTTGTCTGGACATTCACTTTTTGAACCAGTTTTTTTACAATAAACCCTGTTTTCGTCATCTCCGCGCCTGAGACCTCCCTCAAGATCCACCTCCCTGACACATGGGATATCCCCCTAAAACAATTTCTAATCCCAGCCAAGGTGTGGAAGGGATGTGACCGTAGAATTGCATCTCTGCTTTTCCCAGATGATGTGGTCCCATTGGCTTCAAAAAGTCACGATCTATAACTTTTACTGCAGAAGTTTGCAGCAGGGATGAGGATCAGAGCCTCCAAAACCAAGACCATGGTCTCACACCAGGTGGAATGCCTCTTCAGGTCAGGGGAGATGTCCTGCCCCAAGTGGAGGAGTCCTCGTTGTAGTGGATAGAATGGGTTTCTGCATGCCATAGTGATGACGTCCACTAATTGGTCAGGTGGTGTTGGGAGCGGTAGCATTTGAAATATCACCTGTTCACTCGCAAGGTGACAGTTTAGTAGTGAGTGGGTGATGGGGGAAGCCTACTTTTTGCTGACCGCTTTACGCTTTATGCTTTACGCTTCACGCCTTATGCTTTAGATCTGATCGAATCAAGTTTGCTGCGAACGTTCACGATGGATTACCGTTTGTTGGATTATGGATGCCAATGAACTGATTCAGTGACGTGTTTTAATGTTGGATACCTGAAGATTAAATAAAGCAATAACACGAAGACTTTGGACTGGCGTTTTGAACATCTAGCGCGTCTGGCTCGTTAGTTTCCCCGAATCAGCTGCTCGGCGACCTAAAAGTTTGTTGATCAGTCGCCAATACTCGTATCTTTGGGTCTTGTTCATGAAAAGGGTAAAATAGATCGGATCAGTGCAGCATTGGTGACCTGATCAATGTTGCCAACCCAATCTATGGCCATGAGCTTTGGGTCCTGACCAAAGAACGAGTTCGTGGATACAAGTGGTCCAAACGGGATTCTGCCACAGGGTGTCTGGCTCTCCC